CCCTTCTGCAGCAGCAGCAGCCACCGCCCGGCACGGCCGAGTCCGACGGGGAGGGACCGCCCAGGGTGGACTTCGTTGACAACACAATCAAAAGCCTTGATGAGAAACTGCGCAATTTGCTTTACCAGGAATACGTTCCTACGTCCTCTGCGTCGGCAGGGACTCCAGACCCCTCTGTCCCGCTGGAACAGGGCGACAGCGAATTGAACTTGCCGCCTTTTCCAGAAGATCAAGTTCCCGTGTTGGATTTGAGAGAACCAAGCCATAAAGTTGCAGATGCCGGCCAGGAGGTGAAAGCTGCTGCCGAGGCCGTGTCGATGCCTCTCGTACCACCGGAGACCTCAGCCTACCCGACCCTGGTTAGTCCAGCAGCCGCCCTGCCCTTCGTGCCCCCACACCCAGCGGTGATGCCCAGCACCAAGGCGGAGCTCGGAACCCAAGAGCCTACGGTAGGACATGTATCGGTTTCTTGCTTCTCGAAACGTTCTTCGTCTCTTACCTTTTCTTTGTTGACTGCTTTCCAGTGTAGAAGGTCTCCTAAATTTTTACTTTGTCAGATGCATTCTGACTCATCTTACATAAACGCTTGTTAGCGAAAGCCAGATTTTTCCTTTGGGTTTAAAAGTGGTATAATAATATCTTAATTCGTTCTCCTCCTCTTGTGTCCTGTTTCTAAAGCAGGCAGAAACGTGGTAATTTTTTTGTAATTTAAAAACGTGTAAAACATGAAAAGGTATAGTCATTCAAGTTCTGAAGAAGATGATCATGCTTCAATATGATTATTTTCCCTATAAATGAATGGCAGTGATTATAACGCCTGCCTTCCAAGCCAGTCTGAATAAAGCAAACACCTCAAGAGCCTTTGCTGTGTTCAAGTGCTGCAGCTAGAGGAGGACCCTCTGTAGGCAGGAGCTTGCTCTGCTTTCAGTAACGACTTTGTTTGTCTTCACCTGAACTCAGCAGAGCAAGACTTCTCTGGGAGCATCTGAGGAAAGCTGGAGCAGGTGGTCTGGGTTGTTCCTCACTCCATGTTGCAGTCATGCACCTGCGTTCTTTCAGATAAAATCCCAACTTTATTAAATTCAACAGATTTCCAGCACTTTCTGCTTGGAGATCAGTGTATATCTTGAAAAGTAGCGTTTCTGGAGATAATTACGTCGCTGCTAGCAAGGACGAGCCTGTTCCCTGTAGTGTCAGCTGAATGAACTGTAGCAACGGCTTGAAAGATGCTGCACGTTGCAGGAGAGGCGGCTGCGCTTGGGTAACTCGTTAGAGCGTATTGTTTGCAATGATAAATGACTTGCCACAGTAGATAAAATTCTCTCTCTGTGAAAGGTGTTATGTCTCCCCAGTAATTTGAATCTATCCTATTAAAATCTGTGCCAGTAAGAAAAGAGAAACATAGAATCTGTGCCAGTAAGAAAAGAGAAACATAGAATTTTTGAAGACAGACATACAAATGAAGAATGCCCAGTCTGGCTGGAACAGCAAACCAGAACAAAACCC